TTTGAAATGTTGTGACAAAATTCAGAACTTAGTTGTGATTAAAATTTTTGTATGTGTTTGGGGTTTATAATTACTTGAGTTGAACAATTTTCCACTAATGCATATTTGATGGGTAGGAGGTTGAGCTGTTCTAAATAAATGGCCTAGTGGTAGAAAAATATTTATCCGAATTCATGAAATCCTAGAATTATTTTTTAAATTAATATGCTGAAGTCTTAAAATGTTAAACATCTTTAATGTTATGCAAAATGTCACACACTACATTATTGTAATCTAAGAAGACTTCTATGTGTCCATTCATTTCAATGAGGATTTAAGAATTATAGGTCATGGGTTTTGTTTCATATTGCTTAGTTGACTGTATTTTACTCTCTTTTTTGCCACCTTGTGAATGGCAACATGTTGTTCTTAGGATAATTACCCTTCTCTGTTAATGATGCATTCTTGTGATGCATGAATGAATGAATCATGTGTTCATTTACCAATAGACATCCATTCAACCCTATGCAGAAATGTGTTTTTTCAATAACAGAACCTAAGAATCCCACTACAAATCCTTGGCCTAATGTGTTCCTTGCTTAAATGGAACTTATCTTTCATTTTGAAGAAATATAAAACAGTGGGCAAAAGGGAAAAGAATGATCTAAAAATTCTGCTTGAATTTTAACAATAATAAAGTTGACATTAAATCAAGTATAAAACAACATAAAATGACAGTCTAGATACATACACATTTCCAAAATCTGTCTTGCACAGATTTTGCATAGACATTGCATAGATGTCTAAAGACTTATTCCAAATAATTGTAAAATGTTCTTTTCAGAGCTGGCAAGAAGATCAGTCAGTAAATCACTTTTTCCATAAACACAAAGGCCTGAGAGCAGATTCCTAGCAAATAGGTAAAAAGCCAGGTGTGCCAGGATAGTTCAATAATACTAGTCGTGAAGAGGCAGAGATAATGACCACTAGGGACTATGGGTCAGTTCATCTTGACCAATCAATACTGCAAGTTCAATGAAGGACCTTGTCTCAAAATGTGTGTGTGCGTGTGTGCACATGTGAGCACACACACACACACACACACACACACACACACACACACACACACATACTCGAGCACAATAGAAAAATACATCTGATGTCAAACCCTGGTCCACACATGCAGATGCTCACATGAGCACATGGATCTAACACATACAGGCACACATACATATTTACCCATATGCCACAAGAACACACTATACACACATGCAAACATGTACACATTAATCAATCATATACACACAATGCTTTTGTATTACCAGCAATTCATGTTACTTATGAAATTTTTCACTGGATTAATGAAATGCTGCCTCCAGCTGCTGCCATCCTTCCCTTATCACATATCATTTCAATATGAAAATGCACAGATATCATCTAATCTCTCCACCCTAAAATAATTAGAACAAAAAAACAGTGTGACTACACATTCTTCCTGTGTTATGAAAAGGAATCATATTATTTTCCTTTTCAAACATTTCTATGCACTACTTTACAGAGATTTTAACTGAGTACATACTTGTATCATCATAGACCATAGTCTGCTCAGTCTGGCTAACATGGCCAGTCATCCCCATCATTTCAGTGATGCTGACACCACACTATAACCTGTAGACATGTATACTATTCTAAAACAGCTCATTCTAAGGAACTCGAAGTATAATTGGTAAGCAGCTTGTCTTAGGTAGGGTTTTATTGCTGTGAAGAGACATTATGACCACCATGGCAACTTTTTTTATGGGAACTCTTATAAAGGAAAACATTTAATTGGGGCTGGCTTACAGTTCAGAAATCTAGTCCATTATCATCATGGTGCATGGCAGCCTGCAGGCAAACATGATGCTGGAGAGTTCTACATCTGGATCCACAGACAACTGGAATAGACAGTGAACCACTAAACCTGGCTTGAGTTTTGAAGCCTCAAAGCCTGCTCCCAATGACGATTTTCTCCAAGAAGGCCATACCCCCTCCAACAAGGCCACACCTCTAGTAATGCCACTCTGAATTTGTAGGAGGGATATATGACAATCTTTGTACATAATTATGGTAAATCGTCATGTACTATTCTGTTCTACTGTGGAAGGTAGTGCTTTAGAAGAGGTAAATTTGATTGATAAACTGAAATGAAAAAAAATGCTTAAGGAGCTGAGGGTATGAAATTTTTTGTCATCCGGTCTAATGGGGCAAAAACCCACCACCTCCATCTACTCATTAAAAGTTGTCTATTCTACTCAGCTGGCAACTCATATCTTTCCCTCTGTCTCTCCCTTTCTCTCCACAATGCTGAGAGGTGTCTTATCTCCCAACCAGAATGAAGTCTCCAACACAAAGCAAGGATCCAAGTCCCAGCATAATTCACATGCCTCACATGCTTCTCAGGCATACTTCCCCTAAAGAATTTCCTCTAAAACTGCTCTAAGGACTGGAGAGCAGTTGCAGTGGGTAAGCATTTACAGCACAAGTGTGAGAAGCTGAGTTCAAATCCTGAAGCCCCAAGTAAATTCGGATACAACAGCTCATGTCTGCAATCTGAATGCTCCTGAGATGAAAGTTGGAGCCAGGAGCATCTCTAGAAGCCCAAAGGTCAGCAGCAGCAAACAACATAGAGATCCTGTCTCAAACAAGGTAGAAGGTGAGTACTTAGAGTCCTTTGACTTCCTGGCACACTTGAGAACATATGAATGAGCATACACATTCAGCCAACATATACACAAGTGTGTTTAGCAAACAGACAGACAGATGGACAGACAGACAGGCATGCACGCACATGTGCACACAGAGACAAACACACACACACCTATGCCAATACAACATTTCCTGTGTAAAGCACTGGTAAAATTATTTTACTCAATGTAAATTATTTCCAATCCAGTTGTACAAGAAGTGAAAATTGTACTGATTTACAAATTAGAAGGCTATCAGAATATTTTACTCTTAAAAAGGTTTTTAATTATTAATGTAATAATTGTAATCTTCTTGAATGGAGTCCAAAGATAGTTGGCAGTGGCTGTGCATGCTTCTCACACTATAAAACAAAAATGGGAAGACAAATGAAGTGACGTTTTCCAAATGAAGTGACTCTTTCCTCACTGAACTGAAATGGAATTATACTCACCACCAGGAAAAGGTATCACCTAAAGCTTATTTGTCCCTTACAACATGACACATCCTTATTATTTGTTATGGAAAATGTGACAGACTTTTAATTGAATGCTAATAGATTCATATTTTAAACATGAAGTGTTTGGAATCCATCCCAGGACACCTATATCTTATAGTGTTATTTAAGTAATAAAATTAGAGAAACACTGAAGCTAATCCCTCTGAGCAAAACCTTTGGGTTCAATTACCAGATACATCTTAAGACTTTTACGGCCTCTAATGATAACTCTGATATTTCATGTGGTTAACTAATGCCAATGCTGTCCTTAATCATGCCTTGAATCATGCCTTTCTCAAGAATATTTTTAAGAGAGACTTAACAATTCATATCAACCTAATTAAATCTGTAATGTTTCTTTTAAAATTTATTGGCAGACATTTATTTCCTGAACTCACTAAGATATATCTAGAATCCTTTCCCAACGTTTCTTCAAACTGTTATTTATTTCTTCTGGACTTAGAATTTATAAGAAAGTTACTTTTCCTTTTCCACCAGTGACACCAACCACCCCTTGAGTATCCTTTTCAAATGTGGTACCAAAAAGCTGTCCTTTGGGACCTTAGGTTTACTCTTCCTTCTTGACTTGACACTGAAGAAGTCAAACCAGGAATACAGTTAGTGTTTACCATGTTGGAAGTTAATTTAAAGAGTAGAGAGCTAAGAGAATCTCAAGGAAATCAACCCGGATCCTCATCAAATGTATTGCTAAGATCAAGTTAACTCTTAGCATGACCAGTCATATGAAATAAAAGTTGTTCTGTGATCTTATAGTGATTCCATTTAGATTTGCACTGATTGTTTGCAAGTCTAGATGCAAAATTTGTTAGCATGAGTTGGAATGCAAGTAACAGTTTAGATCCTTACAGATAAGGAACATGAGAGACAGTTCTGAGTCATGAGAAAAGTTGAAATTTGGCTTTACAATTGCACAATTGGTTAAACATAGATGGCTTTACAACTCAGAGCATAGACTACCAACACTAAAAGTCAGGCAAATGAGAAAAAAATTAGTGAGGAAAAACCACTTCCCTATCCAGAAAGAAAGAAATCTTTGTTACTTACCTTGGAAAGAAGACAGAGTAGAAAAGATTGTTTTTCTGTCTTTTCTGTCTGTAATCTGCTAGATTTTAGGAACCTCGAATTTTGGAAAAACTGAGTGATTAAAGTACCTAAGAGGAGACTATCACAAGCAGAGAAGAGAGACGTGAGAAGAGACTGCAGAAGTACAGGAAATGCAGGAAACACATAGCGTTAATCCAGCATGTTATCCGACACCATATCCTCGAAAAGACAAAACCACTGACACCGAGGAAAGAAAATCAACACGGGAATTGAGGCCAGATGTAAATATTTACCCCCGCAGACCATTGGTCATATTGGCTTTTGTAAGATACAAACTATATACATATGTACACATATATAATTAACAAAGATTGCCCTATGTTTCCCAATTAAGGATGGAAGTAAAGTTACAATAACAGCACCATTTTAAAATCCTTTCATAAATCTATTTGGTCACCTCATCTTCAAATGAAATTTAATATATGTCAAATATTTCCCAGATATAATAAGCTGCACATATCTATACCTATAAACATATGTTGCTTATATATATATAATGTTATTTTTAATATTATTCACATATTAAATAATATTCTTCTGATACACTGCTTATGATACACTATGAATCAATAAGTACCACATTAAATAAATATTTAAAAAGTATCTTTTCAGTAATATTTAATTTTGCAAATTTTCATGTATAAGTGTTTAAAATAAATAGGAACAAGTTTACCTCTTCAGTAATCCATCATATTTATTAAATATATTTTGATTCAATCGATTTCAGTATCAACACACATGTCATCTACTCATATTTTGATTCTTTAATGGGGGTGTAGCACTAATAACCACTATTCATAAAATTAAACACATGATTATCTTGGTGGTTTGACAAATATTTTCTCTGTTGTAAACTCAAAACAATAAAAAATGCCAACAATTACATAACACTGATGAGTTACACCTTTATCAGATTTTCCACTTTATGCTGTAAGAGAACATTAAGAAAACAACTTTGCTACCAGTCTTGTTAATGCCATACAGAACACCAGAAACAGGAAACTATTATTTATGCACACAATTCTGCAGTCATCACCACAAATCATTTGGAAAATCGCTGAGGTAAGACTCTAAACTAAATATGGTGTTGATCTGTTAATTATCCTGACAGTATTTTGAGGATGAGTGGTTTCCTCTTGTTTTTTTTTTTTTTTCCACTCATAAGGCTCCAAAACCTTAAAAACACATTAGACAATACAATAGCAATATTCAAAGAGCACTGCCCGTTCCGAAGAACAGGAAATCTCTAGCACAGAGACACCACATAGAAAGGAGTGGATTCCCTTGGAGGTAAGAATCAATTAACTTGCAACACATTAAGGAGCTTTCTCTTTCTTCTTTGGTGGAGAATCTATTCTATTCGGATTCTCCACTCCATTTTCTGTGCCTTTTCTCGCCCTGGATCGTCTCCTCCTCCCCGCGGCCTGAAGACTCGCGTCTTCTAACCACCTCTGAAGCCAGACCGTAGTCAAGGTCCACGTTATGTACACCTGGATACTGCAACTCGAAGACAGCACAGCGATTTTAGCTGCCAGCACATTGACATTTCCAGAGAGAGCATTAGCATTCCGAGTCTGGGACCCAGCCAAGTGAAGCCCTACTGTGACCACCGAGACGATCAATGTCACGAGTCTCCCTGATATAAACACGACAGGCCACAGAGACAACCCTTTCTGGTACCGCTCATCCCCGAAGTAAATCAGGCTGCACACATTGGAGAGGAGCTCGACCGCATAGTGCAGCATCAGAAGCAGCAGGCCCAGGTGGTTCAAGTACAAGAGATAGGCCCCTCCAATGTGGAAGAGGTGCAGGCCGATGAAAATGAGCTGGCCCGGGATATCTTGCTTCCTGGCTTTCTGGAAGTAGAGCTCCGGGAAACTATGGAACCAGTAAGCCAGCTGTGAGATGTAGAAAAACTTCATCTGAAATGTCATCATGTTGTGGGGAGGCGCCCTCCACAGTAGAGTGGGGTCTGACAGGCAGTTCTCAGAGGTCAGAATGATCATGCCCCAGATACCAGACACTATGTAGAACACACTCAGCTGCCCGGCCTCGTTCAGTTTGTTTTGTTTGCCTTTGGTGAGCTGCAGTCTCTTGCTGATCTTATCCAGAACATACTCCTGGATGGTGGCGTGGATGATGATGGCCACCAGCATGTAGAAGAACACTGTGGCCAGATCTTTGACCCCATAATGGTACAGGGTCCTGGACCCTGAAGGCAGCTCTTCCGCGGGGACAACGACTCCATGCTGCAGCGTGAGGAACACAATCGACATCTCGGCCGTGCCCTCGAACATTAGCCCCAGCACGAAGAACATGCCCACGCAGGAGACCATGTCCGCGTGGTTCTGCACCATGAACTCGTGGCTCAACACCGGGGGGTTCCTGGCGTTCTTCTTGCGCAGCCCCATGCCGCGGTACTCACCGGTACTCACCGGCCGCCGCCGCTGCTCACTGCGCCGCTCCCAGCGCCTGGCTCCCCATCCCCGCCCGTCCGCCGCCCAGGGTCGCAGCCGCTGCCGACCGATCAATCAAAGGCTGGGGCCGCGTAGGCCGAGCATGCGCACAGGGCCTGCGGAGGCAGGGAAGGAAATCGAGCGCCGCGCCCCTGCCCCGCAGGCCCGGGTGGGAGCGCGGATTTGCCGCGCCGATCGCCGCCGCCCACCCCGCCCGAGCCAGTGGGGCTTCCCAGGAACTGGCCAGGACCAGCCTGGGAAGCCATTGTCCTCACCATCACCATCATCACTGAGCATCACAGGAGCGAGCTCCCTAGTGTTCTCCACTGATCTCTTAGGAATCTCAGAGTCACTTAGGAGCTGGATGCTGTGGGAATCCTCTCTCTCTCTCTCTCTCTCTCTCTCTCTCTCTCTCTCTCTCTCTCTCTCTCTCTCCTCCCACCTTTTCACCTTTTCACCTCCCCTCCCCCTCTACCTCTCTGTGACACAAAAACTGAGTCAAGAACTCCTATCATGCCTACCATTAACATCACCTATCTGGAAAATGCCAGTAGCCAAGATTTAAATCTGGGTGGCTTGCGGAGCGCGCCCTTTGTGTCCTTTGAAGCATTGTATTGTGCTGTCTCCTTGTTAAGTCAGTCATACCTGGAAACACTAGACCCACAACAAAGCAGTTTCGAAAATAATTCTCCTATTGGAATGATAATGGCTGTGGAGGTGCTAGCTAATTACTTTCAAAGTCTGCAAGGCAGTGGGAAGCAGAGAACTAACAGGTCTTGGGTAGGTCCTTTGGCTACAAAACAAGAGTTCAATCTAACATATGAATCTCAGGGTTCATTTGTCTGTGCATTGCATTTTTAGTATATGTTCAATTCACTTTAAAAAAAAAAAAAAAGCAACGCTAGTAGCTTTCTCAACAAGTTTCATGTAAGTTTTCAAATATCTCTTCTAATGAAAGTGAATGTTTTTGTCCCCGGAATGTGAGTGTAAAATCTTTACTGATGTGAATGACAGTTGAAAGTATGAAATATGCATTTCAGAAGAAAAAAGGCTACATGATATTTTCAAAATAAAGCAATAATTTCGTTAGAGTGCTCAGCTTTATCATTCTTCATTTCTCTGTATGTCATAGCTAAGTGTAAATGGAACCCTGGTTATGTAGCTTAAAGATTTTGAACTAAATATTCTGACCAATGGAAGGCATCTTGCGTTTCCTAGAGGAGCTAAAGGAAAAGACACACAGTTTTTTATGGGATTTGTTCCTGTATTAAGGAAAATATACACATATGTATTTTTTCACAACGAGAATTCTCTATTTTTCAAGTGATTCTTCATTGGATAACTCACATTTTTATAGAACATCATTCTGGCATTTCTTTGTTTATCCAAGCTCAATTATTGAATTTGATGGTTCCACAGTGAGAACAATTTAAAGTTAAATCACCAAGGAAACAGAAATACACATAAAAAAGCTAGGGTGCAAAGGAATGAAAAGAAATAGAACATCAAACTTGTCCAAATGGTCTGGAGGAATACTCCAAGATAATAGCGATGCTTGCTTGGGATTATGCAAGAAAGAGCCCTGCACTGGTGTCAGACTAATGATAATTTTAAATATAGAATCCTTTGGGCATAATGGCATAGGTAACAAAATTGGCCAGTGTAGCATAAATAATGAACATAAGAACACTTGTGTGACTCCAATTGTACCCTTTTATTACTTTTTGAGATTGTTTTTTTACAAGCATTCTACCCCTAAATGTGCCAACACAATCTATTTTGACCTCAAAATAAAAAACACAGAACATATCAAAATGAATAGAACAGATATTTATGTATTGATATGTTTTTACTGTTGAAGAAAGAAAAGCATTAGTGAGTTAGTTTTAAATTATTTGCAGATGTGAAAAAACTAAAACATCTAGACTGTTCTCACATTCTCTCACTCTCTACTTTCTCAAGAAAAGGCAGATGCTTCAAAATGTAATCTTTCCTTTGGTTAATTAGGAGCTTTGCAAAGATTGACATATGCTACAAGATTCTTAGGTGTTTGCCAGAAGAATCCAGCTCTTCACAAGGTGAAATTCATGTTGTCTAGCATCAGTATAGCAGCCTGAAATGAAGCCTGTGTGAGACATCCTCCAGGATGTGTGCATAAGTCCTCTAGGTATGGTGTTGACATTAGCATGACACAGATGTTTAGATCCTCAAGCATAAACTGTGGAGTAAAGGAAACTGAAACCAGAAATGCCATGGTCCTTCATAATCTAATATTAAAAGTCACATCTACCATTTGAATTATAAAAATGAACACACTGCTACTTGCTAAAATAAGATGGGGCAAAAGGGAAGGTAGACATCCATCACAGACAGTGCCTTTGAATGAGCTGTGCACTAGTTGTAGCTAAATTTTAAAAATCTGCATCCTTTCTGTTGAAAACAAATTTTGTTTCCTCTTGTAAATTAACACTATTCTCTCACAATGAAAGGAATATTCCCATACAAATAAATATGGCACCAGACACAAGCATACTGTCCAGAGCATGTTAACATAATTTAGATGTAGATGCAAATGAGGCTCCTCACATCTGTTTCTTTGTTACACTAACTTTAATTTTGAAGTTTATAAATGAAAGAAATAAGGCTTTTGGTTTTCATACACCTTATGTAAGGATAAAAGGCACCAGACACTTCCATTTAGGGTAAGCAACTGGGGTATATACGGCAGCCAGTGGCCAATAAAAATGTTTAGGTCAGTCTAAGATAACATCTCTAGACCTTGGACTTGAGCCTAGGAAATAGCATTTTATTTCCAAAATAAGTGTCAAATATATAAATTGATTTGTTTTTGTTTGTTTGGTGTTTTAAAAATTAATAGCCAATAGAAATTAAAATGCACTAATGTGTTAATGCAAATCTTTGTCTTTGATATTCAACAGTCACAATATTCACTAGTTGTGGCATATTCATCATGCAATAAGTAGCATTTCAAGAAAATAACATTCAGGATTGATAGCAAAGAAATTGAGGAGACATCTTTTAACTATATTGTACAGACATTTGTCACAGTAAGGAAAGCATCTTTAAACCAGCAGTTCTCAATCTTTGGGTTGCTACCCCTTTGGAGTTCACATATCAGATATCCTATATATCAGATATTTACATTGTGATTCATAACAGAAGAAAAATTACAGTTACAAGGTAGCAACAAAGTACTTTTATGGTTGGAGGTCACCACATGAGGAACTGTATTGAAAGATCACAGCATTAGGAATGTTGAGAACCGCTGTTCTAAAATGTGTTGTTGATTTCACTATAAGAAACATTAGATATTCAGAAACTCTACTGAAAGTCTCTTTGTACTTAAGGAACTATATTTCAGAGCATTGCTAATGGTGTATTCTTTCCATTAGCTATACTAATGGGTCACCTGTGGAAGTCTGTGCTTAACAAACCAATGTTATGTATTTTAACAACTTAGTTACAGTGTGCTTTTAAAGGCTTTACATCCTTCTTAAATAACCTAAAATAATCAAAATTATATTGCATCTCATTTTATGTAAATAGAAAAAACAATATGGACTTTGTAATGTGTAGATTACTTCACCTTTAAATGTTGTATATCTCATAGTAAATGTAAATTTTATATCACTACAATATCAATTACTTAGTAATTTAAATTAACAAGTGAATTCAACATAAATTCTAAAATAGGGTGCCATTTGAAAGAAGAAAGATATGCTGTAAAAGAGATAATAAGAAATAACCAAACCATACCACATCAAACCAATACTTATAATTAGCAAGATGAGGCTGTTACATTTAGCAAATACAATGCAATTTAGCTTGTGCAAGAAACAGTCTCTGGGGCTTTGCAGCTTTTCAAATGATTGGAAAATTTAATTGAAAAGAAATTTATTAAGGTCAAGGTACTTTTGTAACTGACTAGACAATATTAAACATGAGCATCAGGAAAATAAAATGTGACTGAATATTTAGTAGAATAAGAAAAATGTAGTAGTCACAGATTCTAGAGTGTCTATTTGTTTGTGTATTTATTAATAACTTACTGGATAAAAATTATGAAGTACTGTCTATAGATGAACTCATAGAAGAGGTTAAAATGATCTCTTTACCACTAAAATAAAGGAACTAATAAAATTATTTCAACATTTAGTAATTTATGCTTTCAATTGTCTGCTATTTAAAATAATGTGTCGCATATCCTCAGTTCCAGTGAAGAATGAAAGGGCAGAAAGGGACAAATATGCTTGCTAATGGTTATTGAAATATGTGAGGCAAAACAGTCGCTAAGAGGGTTGGAACAAGAATGAGCATGAGTATTTCAGATGGGGTGGGCAGGGAGGAGTCTAAAAGGAGATGCTGTTTTAATAAAAATATCCATGAAATTAGAGAATAGAACTGAGAATTCCTTAGAGTGAGGCACTGAGAAAAGAACACAGAATATCCCCAAGAACAGAGTAGAGGCCAGGATGACCAGAGTATAAACAGAGAAGGCATACAATGAAAGGGAGACACAAGGGGGCATAATTAACATGTCCTTCCAGGTCACAGCTTAATGATCACTCTTTCTGCCTAGATAGATAGATAGATAGATAAACAGATAGAAAAATAGGTAGATGATAAATGGATGGATGGATGATGGATGGATGGATGGATGGATGGATGGATGGATGGATGGATGATGGATGGATGAATGGATAGATGATAGTGTCTGTATAATCTTGTTTGCACATTACTAATATCTTGTAGACGAAATTCTAAATGGTCTTATTAAATAAGAAACACAGAGCCAAATACCGAGTTAAAAGCCCAAGAGATCAGAGCACAAGGGAATAGCCTTTAGCTTGCCAATCACTGCTGTCCTTCCCCTGAGAGAGAGACCTTCTCCTGTGTGACCTGTCTTTTTATTGCCTTTCTGTTGTACCTTCTCATTGGCTCTAAACCCAAACACATGATTTCCTTGTCACTGCCTATCTATACAGAATTCCAGGTCTCTATGGTTCATACTGGGATTAAAGATTAGGGTCACCACTTGGCTGTGTCCTTGAACACAAAGAGACACTCCCTGCCATGTGATTGGATTAAGGGCATGTGCCACCACTGCTGGACTTCTGCTAAATGGCTTGCTTTTAGCTCTGATCCATGGGGCAACTTTAATTATTAACATACAAATAAAATCACATTTCAGCACAAATAAAATATCACCATAATATCTTATTTAAATACTCACATAGAAAGAAAATAGAATCACCTCTTCATTCTTTTATCGCCTTTCTGAGTAGAGTTATTCAAAGTAAAAATAAATTGCACATAAATAAAATGTCTCCTAAGATCCTTTGAAAATGCCATTATTA